TGAATTGTGCATGGAAAGGGGTTGTTATAACAATGAAGGCATTTTATTCCTGTAATAAGGCAATAGCCACAGCTTGGCATCACTTACTTTCTGTCGTCTGAAATGCACTCCAGTGTAAAGTACATATCACCATGACTGTTGATGATAGGACCTTTAAAAGAAGCTCGTGTGCTATCTTCAGCTATGTAAACAGACTTCCAGTTTTTGAAATGAACCCTAGAGTATGCAAATGTCTTCAGGGTGACTCATTGTTTCCCTGTACCTTTATTTTTATTTTTATTGACTCTATATCCCTAATCTTTCTCCTGGGATTGGGCTTAATTATGGTGCAACTATTATAACCACCGAAGGCTTTCATAGCCGGAATCATTGGGTTTCTGTAAGTTTTTCGGGCTGTATGGCCATGTTCCAGATGCATTCTCTGACGTTTCACCTGCATCTATGTCAGGCATCCTCAGAGGTTGTGAGGTCTGTTAGAAACTAGGAAAATGGAGTTTATATATCTGGAATGTCCAAGGTGAGAGAAATAACTTTTGTAGATTGGAGGTAGTGTGAAGGTGGCCAGTTGAAACATTCACACCTACCTCCAACAGACAAGAGTTTTTTCTCCCACCCTGGACATTCCACAGATATATAAACCCCATTTTCATAGTTTCCAACAGACCTCACAACTTCTGAGGATGCCTGCCATAGATACAAGTGAAACGTCAGGAGAGAATGCTTCTGAAACATTGCCATACAGCCCAAAAAACTTACAGCAAGCCTATTATAACTCCCATAGCTGTTTTGACCATCCATGCCTATTTTGAATTTCAGTGTTGTAAATTTGGCTGTTGTAAATAAAGCTTTATTTGGTTAATTAGAATTTCATTGAAAATATAAATTGTAATATAAACCAAGTCATTGTTGTAGTGTGCTTTGTATATAAAGTAAATTTAAAATAAAGCCCATTAATTTTCTATTGAGCTCTTAACACATGCTTGCCAAATGTTTTAGTGCACAAATATAATGTTGCAAGCATATGACCTAGAATGATGACTCTAGGCTTCTCCTGTTATTCCACTGTGATTTCATTGCCCTTGAAGCTGAACTTGAAGGATCTGCCTGTTCCTTTTATCTTTAGCCAGGCTAGAGTCTGGTTTGTCAAGTTCAGCAGCACCCTTGAAGAACTTGCATGGTGTGATCCTAAATCACTAAAATATTTTCTTAAACATGACCTGTTTGCTGTCCTTTATTACATTTCATATTGAGTACTTCGACCAAGATTTTGTGTAACACAAATGTAGCAACACATTGTCAAATGTGGGGTTTTGATCCAGGACTCTCCATGGATACCAAAATGATGCTCAAGTCTTATATACAACTGTGTAGTTAAATGACATCTCTTATATAAAATGTAAACAATTTAAAATTAGTACCAGAAATCATCTGATGATCTGTGGAAATGGTGAGAAGACTACAGTAGGATTTTGATGCATGGTAAAATTAAGGTTTGCCTTTGGGATTTAAAAAAAATCAAGTAGTGGTTGATAGAATCGTGGATGCAGAACCCATGGATGTGGAGGCCCAACTGTAATATGGACAATATAAAACATCTGTGAAATGTTAAGGCCTTTGTGGAGGTCTTGACGTTGCACATATTTAGAAAGAAGAGATTGCTTTTTATCCAAAGCAAACAAAAATGAAAACAGTACTACTATTCTCCCAGACTACCCTACCTTCTGGCATGTCAACTTAACCTTGAGAGTGTGGGAACAAAGAGGCATGCTGAGTTTCAGCTATGTGTCTTCTGGTCTCTGCTGTTTCAGACTGCTGTGATCTTAGAAATATTGAACATGGTAAGTGTTGTTATTGCGAATACCTACAAAGGCAAAAGAGTTGCAGAGCAAATAAAACCAATATTCAGTGATCCTTATTCTGTTGAAGTTGAATGCGGGAGGACTATGGACACTTAAATATGGAAGTACACCAGTACTTTGCCATTGTTTTTATCCACATTGAAAGGAGAGCAATGTGCGTAGGAGATTGATTTAAAATAAACCATCTTCCTACATTTCTGTGTGCTTTCAAGTTATTTCCTGCTCACAGCAACTCCGTCACAAGGTTGTATTGGCAAGAGTTATTCAGAGTGGCTTTTACCTTTGTCTTTCTCTGAGGCAGACAGACAGTGACTTGCCCAGGTAACCCAGGGGGTTTCCATGGGTTGCCAGGATTTGAACCTTGGTCTCTAGAGTCACAGCCCATTGCTCAAAGCCCTATGCCACTCTGGTTTCCTGATGACTTTTTCCAGAATGAAGTTTTAGAGATAGCTGCTGATTGAAATCTTGTAGAAATTCCAGTTTCCTTGTAACTGATGCACTAAAAAAAAAATCATTACCTTCCTTTTTTCTGTGTGAAGAAGAGACTTAATTTTTTTTACTAATGTTTGTTGCTTTAATCATATTTTATAACCATGTTTCACATTTTAATTCATATATATTTCCTCTCCTACATTGAATCAAAGCCCTAACATCTTTTTAATTTTAACATTTTTACATGTTTCTACGGAGTGGGCCAAAAGTCACAAAGGGATTTCAATATTTAATAACTTTCTTATTTTTTAATTTACAATGCCATAGCTTCATATACAGTATATATAGGAAATGAATTTACGTTATATGTGAAAAAAAATCAAGTATTGTATTTTTTTGTAAATGAAGAAAAATAATTATTAAAATATCAGGTAGGTCCCTTTGTGACTTTTGGCCCATCCTGTATTTGAGAGCAATTGAACTTTTTTTTTTTTTAGCTTGGAGAGATTCTCTCAGAAAGAGCTGAGCATGATAGAATAATGTAGTACTTTAGCTGTGTGATAATAATTTGAAAGGATAACTCCGCACTGACTCACATATTATGTACATCATTGTATTATTATTCCGCTTTGCCACACAAAATAGGTAGCGATGTTGGTATTGAGTAGGTGTGACTATTTTTGCTCAAAAGCCCTGCTTCCGCAATGCTAGCTGCATAATTACCATATATACTCAAGTATAAGTCGACCCAAATATCAGCCGAGGCACCTAATTTTACCACAAAAAACTGGGAAACCGTATTGACTCAAGTATAAGCCGAGGGTGGGAAATGCAGCAGCTACTGGTCAGTTTCAAAATAAAAATATATACCAATAAAATGACATTAATTGAGGCATCAGTAGCTTAAATGTTTTTGAATATTTACATAAAACAAATTATTCTAACCTTCTACAATGTAAATGCGCTTACGTATCCTTCAAATAATAATAAAGACAGTAAAATAATCAATGGGAGGAGGAGGAGGAGGAGAAGAAGTAGTAGTAGTAGAAGAAGATGATATATCACACAGTCCTAGACGCTTGGGAAGTGTCGACTTGTGATTTTGTGATAGGAAAACCAGCATATATATCTTGTTTGCTGTGACATACTGTGTGTTTGTGTCAGTAAAATAATAATAACAGTAAAATAATCAATATAATAATAATAGCATAAAATAATAAATGTAATAATAATACAATGAAGTAATAAATATATAATAATAAAGAGTAAAGTAACAAATGTAATAATAGAATAAAATAATGTAAATGTCATAATAATAGAGTAAAATGTAAATGTAATAATAATAAATAGAGTAAAATAATAAATATAATAAAAATAGTAGTAGAGTAAAATAATGCAAAGGTAATAATAACAATAAATAGAGTAAAATAGTAAATGTAACAAAAATAATAACAGAGTAAAATAATAAATAACCTTGACTTGAGTATAAGCCGAGGGGGGCCTTTTCAGCCTAAAAAAGGGCTGAAAAACCCGGCTTATACTCAAGTATATATGGTATATCACCTAGCAGATCAGAGAGCTTTCTTGGATGCAGGGGAAAAGCAGCTAGCCAAGTGGATGTGAGTGGTTAGTACCATTAGGTTCTTGTGGGTTTTTTCGGGCTATAGGGCCATGTTCTAGAGGCATTTCTCCTGACGTTTCGCCTGCATCTATGGCAAGCATCCTCAGAGGTAGTGAGGTCTGTTGGAAATAGGACAATGGGTTTATATATCCGTGGAATGGCTGGGGTGGGGCAAAGAGCTCTTCTCTGTTAGAGCTAGGTGTGAATGTTTCAACTGATCACCTTCATTAGCATATGAAGGCCTGCCTGAGCCTGGGAAAATCCTTTTGTTGAGAGGTGTTAAGATGTGCCTAGTTGTTTCCTCTCTGTTAGTACCATTCTTCAATAAATTTAGATAAAACATTGTATTCACGTCAAATCCCTTGCCTTGTAATAAACTTTGTCTTTTCTCTTGTTTAAAGGTGCTAGTATAGATTGTTAATTTCAAAGAAAATTACTTTAAAACACAATGTGCTCTTAGCAGAGTGACTCCATAAAGTTGTATTTGTGGTTTTGCAGCCTGCGCAGTGTCCGTCCTTTTATTAAATAAATGTCATGTGGCTATAACTTCTCAGAAGGACTATACATGAAGATAAAAAGGGACAGTTTTAACCAACATGCTGACTTACATAAAGTGAGGGGGGGAAAGTATTTAGTCAGATGCCAATTGTACAAGTTCTACCAAATGAGAGAGGCCTGTAATTGACATCATAGATAGACATGTGACATGTGGATAAGTACTGTAGAGAGCGTCGGTACTTTTAGGTTTTCTTGGGATGGACTAAGTTCTTGTCTTTCACTACACAACTCAGATAAAGGGATGGTTCCATTTTTCTTTTTTGACAAGAGTTAAAGTATGAATAAGTTGATTCAGGGTTTTGGGTTGATTTTTTAATTAAAATTTCTATACATTAGTATGTGGAGTAATCTTTTGGCGATGATTTCTGTAGTTGGATAAAATGGGATTTTCAAGTGAAATAAAATGTTTCTGTTGCGCTTCATATAAAACCTGGGACTTGTTGACAAAACAGATACTGAAAACAATCACTCCTGAGTGTCAGAAAGAGGCACAGATGTATTTACATTTCATTATTTCATTTTTCCCACAGCGTGGATCTGATGAGCTTTTTCCTTCTGGTATCGCTTACGGGCCTCTTACCATGAGCAATTCTACTCCTGCTACAGGTAGCATTAAGAACACATTTTGTAGTACAGTGGTAGCTAACCACCTGCCTGATCTTCTGTGATAAAAGTGCCTTGTGGATGAATTATTTTTGATGATTTATTTGTAAGGCAGTTATGAAGTATGTTGATTTAAATTGAGACTCCTATAACCATCTCCCCAATCTGATCAGCCTGAAAAGTGTATTAGAGTTCCAGAAGCAGTGGAGGAGTGAGCATATGAATCAGTTAAAATAGGAATTGTGGGAAATCAATGAGTTTCCCCCCAGTAATGTGTCAGGATTTCATTCTCTTTGTCTAGTATGTAGCCTACTATAATCTTTATAGATGTGGTAGTGCTCAGTCATGTTGTTATGATTAGATTGTTCACATGCTTCTCCTTTCTCTCTCATGTGAGCATTCCCCTCCCTGCCTTCATTTTCTGAGATAATTATGGTAGGTGCTGTATCAGCACCAGGTTTTTCCACCGAGTATAATTGGTGACAAACCATTTGCTAGCAGCTTCATGCTGTGAAAGAAAAGAAAGTGAGAAGGAACTCATGGAGGGATCTGATATAACAATCATAAGAAGGTAGGGAGTGTTACATATGCACAGAGCCTCCATTTAGTAATCTTCAAGAGCCATGATTTAACTAATTTTTAGATTCCACCAAATTATGTCAGCCATTTAAATTTTTAAAAGGCTCTCGAAAGATTGTTAACTCCTTGGGAAGTAACCGTAGAAATATCAGCTAGACTTGAATCTTGATGTCAAAAAAGTCCTATTGGGAGTCATGTCCAATTATCAATAATATTAAATTTTGTGTCTGCTGTTAGTGTTGCCATTGTTACTTTTGTTTTATACCCTTCCTTCCCCTTAGAATGTACTGTTCAGAAAAGGAGAAAGTGCTTCAGTCAGCATTTCAGTGTGTAATATAATCATTTGAAAAAGAATGCAGAAATCCTGAGGCAAAAGATAGGGTGCTTATATCTTTAGAATTCAGTCTTTCTAATTAAAAAAAATCTCAGCAAATAAAACTATAAGCACCACATAAGCATTAAAATATGCAAACCATGTTTACATAGTAGAAACATTTATATAAATCATATTGAATAAGTGAGAATCTGCAATCACTTTCATTTAATGGAAAAGTTTGCAAAAAGGAGAATGGCATGTGTCATTTTACCCTTCTTTTGGGTATACCTTTGTAGTCTCCCTTTGCAGTAGTGACTTCCACAAAGACTTGCTGGGTCCTAATCAGCCTGGTATCTTTCCCCAGGCAGCTTTGCTGTTGATTTCCTGTGCCAGGTGAGCTGGCTACACCACTGGGGACTTTCAGATTTGGGTTAGGGGTGAGCAGTTGGCAGGGCATCCACTCCCAGGCGAATGTGGTCATCCTCTTCATCCCAAAGCAACTTATGGCTCCAATGCATGTGCTAGCTAAGGCATCTGGAGTGTGCATTGGTTGAACCTTTCTGCTGTTTTTGACATAGCTAAAGATTTATTTTAAATGAACGACGATATTCAATCTAATGCTCCAAATACCTCCCTTGAATGTCTGCACCATCATGCTTTTAGTGTATAGACTAGCAAAAAGCTTATCATTGAAATATGCTATAGTACTACTGAAGTGCTCTCATTCATCCTTTCTCATTCTTAATCTTCCCTGGATTGCTGATATCTGCCTGCTGTGCCTTGCTTGATAATTTTGTTTAAAGTTTTTTGTTACTTTTATAGCTCAGTCTCCAAGAAGTCAGTTGCTAGCTCTTATGCCTGCAGACTTCTGTGGGAAAAATGCAAGTAGTAGCTAGCTGGTCCAGCTGTCATACTGGTTGCTTTTAGCTCAGTGACTATGAATGATGTGTAAGTGAAATGAAAACTCCCCAGAAGTTTTGAATTAGAATTAACTAGATTAATTAGTTTAGATCATATTCCTAAATTCCATGTTTTTTCATAATACTAGAGCTGAAGCTAATTCAACAAACACCTTAATAAGTAAATGAAAAAGCTTAGCATTGCTTCTTGCATGCAGTTGAGATTTTGCAATCCAATCAGCAAATGCAGCTTTTGTGTTATGCTAAACTATTTCTTTATATTTTAGCTAATGGGAATGATAACAAGAAATTCAAAGGAGACAGATCACCTTGCTCACCTTCACGAGTCCTTCATCTTCGTAAGATTCCAAATGATGTCACTGAAGCAGAAGTAATTTCTCTAGGTCTACCTTTTGGCAGAGTAACCAATCTCTTGATGTTGAAGGGGAAAAGCCAGGTATAAACATATTCTCCTAGCTGCAAGAAAATGTAATTTATGTAATGCATGATCATTCATCTGTTGCTTGGTGTAAATGTTAGATGGGTCTCCAGTGGTTCCCATGGATTTGGGATACAAGCCAAATATCTTCCTAGGAAGTTACTCAGTTCATTTCTGAGTCAAAGCTGAATACAGCTCCCTATCCTCACACAACTGTCAAATGGGAAGGCTTCATAGGAAACTTTAACAGGCTTAATATCAAAGTGAAAACTTTGAATCTCTTCTTCAATTGCATAAAAGTGAGAAGAGAATGGAGGGCACAAGCCAAAGGCTCATTCTCAAAGACAAAAATAATGGTTTCTTATTATAACTGAAACACAGTACAGTAGTGAGGAAAATAAGTTTTCTAAAATCACTCATACTTTAGCAGCACACAAGTCCTCTCCTGGTTATCCCTTAGTGTCATTATTTCAGCAGCCCTATTAAGTTGAAAATAGTTGCTTTGTTAATGCTGCTCTAAAATAGTTGGGAATCACATGTCATTGGTAATTTATTGCAGATTGTCAGAAATATTCCAGTAGATCCTAAAGTACATTCTTCCCATTCCTTCTGTACTTTAGTATTTACAGTCTAAATTCTGGACATATAACATTGTTTAGTGCTTTTTAAAAATCCCTTTCATTAGTTCCCTTAATTTCTTTTGTAGGTTTAATATTGTTGCGTGATTTGGGGAAAACAGTTAAAGAGAAATCTGCAAACTGTTCTGGGTCACATATGTACACTTATCTCATTCTCTAAGACAATGCTTCCCAAGTTATATGATGTGGTAGAACTGGAAATTATTACTTTTTTCTAGAATTACATGCATTGGTACCATATTTGTTTCCACTGGTTAGAACTGATTATTTCTTTCTGGGAAATTTGCCAGGGATTGGCAGCCAGTGGCTTGGACCACCATGCTGTAAGATAATGCCATCAGCATCTGAAAGGAATATGTGTATCTGGCATAGTAGAGTCCTGTTGTCATTGGGGATTCCATGAAAACTTTTGCAAATTATTCATGCTTATAAAATACAAATATGAAATATTTTGTAAGCATTAAATAATATGAAATTTAAAATTTACAAAATTGTATTTATGCAAGGGAATGAACTGATACAAACGTAACAAATTGCACCATTAGTTTTTAAAGGTGTTATTTTCAATAAAAGTGGTTTTATGTACAAAACATTATTCTATTTGTGTTCATTTCAGGCTTTCCTAGAAATGGCTTCAGAAGAAGCAGCTGTTACTATGGTGAACTACTACACTCCTGTTACTCCACACCTCCGCAGTCAGCCTGTTTATATTCAGTATTCTAATCACAGAGAACTTAAGACTGACAATCTACCCAATCAGGCTGTAAGTATATTTCTTTTGAGGAAAAAAGTGACATTCTTTGAAACAGTTAATGTATAGAGAGATTTTTCAGCAACTTAAATATCCAATTTTCAAGTTGTTGTACAGCTTAGCATGGGAAGAGCATATGGTTGAAAAGGCTGTTTTAAAGTACAGATGCTTTGCTGAACCAGATCAGTGACAAACATATTTTGTGTAAGAATCCTTAAAATGAATTATGGCTTAAGTAAAGGCGTTAGCAACAGTATTCACTGCAGGACAAAGACTAACCTTTTACCCATCCCTTTTTAGAAAAAGGAAAAACTGAGAATTGAATAGATCAGATATTATACATTTTGCAATTTAAAAATAATTTTTAAAGTATGACTATCTTGCTGACTTTTTAAAAAGGCCAATTAATGCATGTACATCACTGGGGAAATGTTTACAGAATTTACTTTTTTACTTTTTTTACTTTGAGCTGGCTAGCTAATAGGATATGATGTAAATTTGAAACTGAACAACTTTTACTTTCTTTTGAATAATAAATATACGTGCACCACATTATTAAAAGCAAACAAAAACATTATATCAGGATTGAATAATATCCAAAGGGTGGATTCCAGCACACAACATCCTCAGTTTGTTTAGATCAGCAGTTCTCAACCATTTTGAGTCGCGACCCCATTTTATAGAGGCAAAGTGACCCTCGACCCCGATACATTAAAAATGGGCTTTAGGGTAAATTAAAACACATTGAAAATAGATTTTTCAGCACTATGTAATTCAAAATACTGTTGAGTTACGACATATTTAATGTAATGAATGAAATTGTAACTTGTTAACAAGTTGAAAAAGTTACAGCTAATGCCAACCTCATGTCATTTTCAATATTTAATCTGTTTCTTGTTTTTGTTTTCAATTGAAGAAGAGTTGAAAATCCACTCTCACAGGAATATGTAGAAACAAAGGGGAATCTTTAATATTTTTTTTCCTTTTTAAATTTTGATAGCTCACCACTGTCCTGTGACACCACAGAAAACCCTTCACGTTCCCATTTGTGGTCATGATCCATGGATTGGAAACCACTGATTTAGAATATGGGTGGGCATATAGAGCTTAGTATGAGATTCCGATTCATGGACCCCACTTTTTGTGACTTCTGAAGCTCCCCAAAGCTCTTATTTAAAAAACCCCAATTTGAACAATTTGGGGGCAATTCCTATCTCTAAACCAAAAGCCACCTTGATTTAATTACATAGAACTAGTCATTTTAAAGTCTTGTTTAAAGACGTTTCTTGAGCTAAGGGTCATACTGTTCCTATCTGCTCAAGCGGGCATAGGAGTTGTAGAGCAGTTCATTATTTCAATAAAATGCCCTCAATATAATAAATAAATAAGATCTCAATACCCATAGTATTCGGCTCTGTGTATTGAGAGCATTGGTTTGTTCTGTCACAGAATGCTCCTGGGCATTTAAAGTCAGTTGGGTATGAGTTATAGTAGCCCTGAAGATGTGATTTATGGATTAGTATGGAAAATGAAAATAAGCCACTGTGCCCAGTAAATCAGATTAACAGGTTTTCTACACAGACCATGTTCATGTCTCTTCTAACTTCTTCCCTAGTTCTAGCCAGTTGGCTTAAATGGGATCACTGGTACTGCAATATAGTTGCATAGTCATCTGAAGAAGCATGACCCATTTGGTTACTGTCAAAAGGAAGCATTATTTTGGGGACTTAAAAAATTCAATATCTGCAGAATTTCTCCACAAGTTAAAAACCTGTTTAAATACACTTGTTTTCATTAATCTGAAATGCGAGAGAATGAAAAATGGTAACCTTCCCTATTATCTGCATCAGGTATTAAAAAGAAAGTGTAAGGCCTTTAAGTGGCACTAATGTCTGTGGGACTGTATGCAAAGTATGTTACACTGATGTACACAATACTTAAGTTGTTATCAAGTAATTTTATTTTCTCTCTTTTCTTAGAGAACTCAAGCTGCATTGCAAGCAGTAAATGCTGTGCAGTCTGGAGGCCTGGCCCTTACAGGTGCTCCAGCTACTGAGGGTGGATTGCCTCCTGGTCAGAGTTCTGTACTTCGAATTATAGTTGAAAATCTTTTCTATCCTGTAACTCTAGAAGTGCTATATCAGGTAAGAAAACTCAAGTAAACAAAAAAAATCTGGTCTTTTTTCTTGTGTTTCAGGCAAGATTAATAAACAAGGTATCAAACTGTTATTTCTTAGGATTTTTTCCCCAATAATCTAATTTTGATGTTATATTGCTTATTGGTTGGTTTCTTCTTGAAAATGAAAAAAACTTCTAGTGAGGATTATTTGCAGTAGGAGATTCGTATTTGCCCTAGAGAGTTTACCCATGCTGGAAGAAACCGGAATATAAATTTATTTAATGACTAAATTAATAAGTAAATGCTTATAGTGATGAGAACTAACATTACTAATGATTTGTTAGTGGGGTTGTATGTGTTCAAGATGTAGATTCCCTTCCACCCTATCTTTTCTATGCTGCCTTTGTAGTAATCACTTATTCACAAAGGTGCAGGTTAAGAAAAAAACTCAGCAAATGGGAAATGGAGCACATGTAGCTGAAAGGGAGATTTAAAATGGAAACTAATAAATTTGATCTGGTCATATTGCTACTATACATTTTTATTTATATAATACAATTAATTTTTCTGAAAGAATTAAAACTTATAAAAACATAACTAGTAAAATTAAGCAAAATTAAATTTCATTAATTCAAACAATTCTGAACAAAGCCCGAACCTGTAAAACACAATTGTAAAATATTCACTCTAACCAAAGTGTTGAGGGAAAAACCATTTTATAAATCCTCTTAGAAGCAGCCCCAAAAGCTGTACAGTGTTCCCTCACTTACCGCGGGTGTTCCATTCCCAGACCCCCCGCGATAAGTGAAAATCCGTGAAGTAGGGACACCATATTAATTTTAATATTTATATATTATTTTATATATTTGATGCATTATTTTCTTACCCGTGCTTCCTTACTCGCCTCTCTGCCCATCCCAAGGGCGCCTGACTGCCTCCCTGGCCTCCGCAGAGCCTCCAGAGCCACGCAGGCAGCAGCAGGCCAGGGAGGCAGGCTTTCCCTGCAGCGCACTTCCGGGGTCCCTGTCCTCCACTGGATGTAAATATTTAATATTTAATATTTTTATTAAAATTTTCAGAAACCCACAAAACAGTGAGTCCACTAAAAGCGACCATGAAGTAGCGAGAGAACACTGTATATCTGGGGTGTTCTGTGGTTGCCAAGGATCCTCTGAAGATGCCAGCCACAGATGCAGGCAAAATATCATGAGAAAATGCTGCTAGAAAATGGCCATACAGACCCGAAACCACACAATACCCTAGTGATTCCAGCTGTGAAAACCTTCAACAATACAGTTGTATATCTCTCACAAGATAATATCAAAGTATAAGAGAGAGCCACTAAAAAAAAACTCTAACTGGTGTTCATGAATGTTACTGATATTAGTGATGTACCACTCTGAAATGGGCCTGGCAACACATCAGGAATCAGTGGAGCTGATACAGAATTGACATTATGTGATTTTATAGTATACTACTCAAGGTGTAGTCCATGGGATGGTGCCAGTTTATAAACTATCAGCTACTGATTCAGGGAGAGTTTCCAGAAAAGAAGGAGGCAAATGAGTTGTAGATTCAGCATGAATATGGTACCCATCCCCAACATATTAGAAATACAATATTTGGCTTTCTTTCATCAGATTGCTTAAGAAGTACTGGTCAAGTAATAATAATAATAATAATAATAATAATAATAATCTTTATTTGTACCCCGTCACCATCTCCCCTATGGGGACTCTGAGCGGCTTACATGGGGCCAGGCCCAAACAACAATTAAAAGTTTTAGAAAGAATTTTAACCACCACATTATCCTATCAGCTGACATTTCCAAGTTGTGTCCCTTCTCCACATTCCATTCCCTCTAGGAAACTGCTCCAAATTAAGTTAAGTTGAATATAACTAGAACATGTATAACTGAAGCCCACATAAAACTACCTAGTTAAAGTTGTAGGCTATGTATCAGGCATGGGCAGGGCCTGGGGGCCGGATGTGGCCCTCTGGGCACTTACATCATCCCTGTCCTCTCAGCATAAGGACATGGTGGCCCGCCACATCCTTATGCAGAAAGGGGGAGGAAGGCCCTCTGGAGTGCTCTTAGCCATCGCATGTCTCGCCCTCCTCCTGGCATAAGAATGGTACGAGCAGCCCTGTCCTTTATGCTGAGAGGACGGCCTGAGGAAGGCACGCAGTGGCTGAGAGCCCTCCGGAGGGCTCTCGGACATCGTCTATCTCACCCTCCTCCCAGCATATTGCTGAGAGGACAGCCCGAAGATTAGGACAGGAGGATCAGGGCAGTGGCCGTATGTTTTGTTTTCCTCCCAGAATAAGGATGGGGCGAGCAGCCCCATCCTTATGCCAGGAAAACAGCCCAAGGATGACCCAGGCCCTGCCCCACCCCCTTCCATCCTCACTGTCTAACAGGCCCTGTCCCTCTTAGCCCATCCCACCCAGCACACGTTCTTAGCTGCCCTCTCTCCTGGCCTGGTCCTCTCGGTCAGACCCAAAATGTGGCCCCACAGCAAAAAAGTTTGCCCATGCCCGCCATATATCATTCTTGACTACTTGGTACTACCTGTGCTTCCGTATAGAGGAAACCTCGAGTACCAACATGGTTTCTTAGTGCAATCTCTATTGCCAGACAAGCAGAATATATGCCTCATCTGGCTAAAGTTTCATCTGGTTTGGTTTTGTTCATCTTGAAACTACTTCCAAACATCAATTCAGGGGCTCCAGAGCATATTTGGAATTAGTAGGCGAAAAACATGTGCGTGTGTTTTTGTCCATATATTTGTGATGCTGTTGCTTAGTCCTCAGTATCACTTTTCCCAGTATCTTCAAGTAGATGTTATATAACAAGACCAAAAGATGGAAGGCTGAAACCCACAGGACAGGATGGATGTGCCTTGGCACCACCTCCTGATATTGACCAACCAGGCAGTCCAGAGGGATTGCATTCTCAATTGTATCACAATCACTGAAAGGTCTAGAATAAACAAAATTAAGCTCACTATTTAAGTGATTTTTTTGTTTCATTTTTCTTGCTGTGAAAACATAACTGGACAGTGTCTTAACTGTGGTAAAATAGTAGTAAAATACAGTTAGACTTTCATTAGGAGAATATTTTTAATTATGATTTTAAAATAAATATTCAGGTGTAATATTCTTAGCAGAATAATGAAGTCTCCAATTCAGAAAGATAACACTGATTATTTGAGATATCCATACAGTTTTTGTCTCAAACCTTCCTAGAAAGAATGACAGCAGGTGTATGTTTTAATTTAGATCTTCTCCAAGTTTGGAACAGTTTTGAAGATCATCACTTTCACCAAGAACAATCAGTTTCAGGCCTTGCTTCAGTATGCTGATCCATTGAATGCACATTATGCAAGAATGGTAGGTAAACAGTAAAGTATGAATAAGGATTTCCTATATGCGTGTGTATCTTCCCAAGACTCAGAACCCCCTGAGCCCATGTACTCCAGTGCTCTCTCTCTTTCTGATGTTTTTCTCTCTTCTTTCTTTCTTTCTTTCTTTCTTTCTTTCTTTCTTTCTTTCTCTTTCTCTTTTTTGCCTTTGCTTCAGTTCTCTTTCAATCACCACCATCCTTTATAAGGCAGCATTACTTTGATATTTTTGTCAGCAGACAATATTAATATTAAATTTATTTATGTATGTGTCCATATCTCTTATAAGGAATACAGACATATCCCTTGAGATATGTGTCTGTATACATGTCTAAAAAGTGTGTCACCGACATGAAATGTTTGGATGTTTGTCCCTTATTTGCAGAAAATGAGCATATCACAGGTGTGAGCAACATTGCTTTCTCTCTCTCTCATCATCATCCTGAAAGTTGAGAATAGTACAAAACGAACTACAATGTGGAGTTGTTTGTAACTTGGGGATTGACTGTATAATCTTTTTTTCTTCTTCCTCTAGGCTCTTGATGGTCAAAACATCTACAATGCTTGCTGCACTCTCCGTATTGATTTCTCCAAACTAACAAGCCTTAATGTAAAATACAACAATGATAAAAGCAGAGATTTTACACGTTTGGACCTTCCTTCAGGTGATGGGCAGCCTTCCCTTGAGCCCACAATGGCTGCTGCTTTTGGTAAGAATTTAATCTTTGTAAGAACGTAAAACATGTTTTTCTGTTTTAGCATTAGACTGTTTAATATTTTCAAAAGTGTTGAATTAAGTTGTATAATTATGTAGTCTAGACCCATCATTTGGAATAATAGGTTTTGAAAATTAAAGGTAAAGGTAAAGGTTTCCCCTGACATTAAGTCTAGTCATGTCCGACTCTGGGGGTGGTGTTCATCTCCATTTCTAAGCTGAAGAGCTGGCATTGTCCACAGACAAATATTGCTGCTGACAATTGGTTCAATAAATAAATGGGCCCTCTTGCAATTGAAGCCTAAATTTCTGTAGATCTTAAAAGACATAAATCAAGTTGTACAAGAAAAATCTGAGTTGGATTTATTGTGAAAACTTGCTGTTATTTAAAGTGTAAATATAACCCGCTTTCTGATTTGCAAGCATTTTATAGCTTTTTTCAAATTTTCATCCTTTCTGAAGTATATACAAAAGTTGACAGACTTGAGAGCATCACATTAGTGGTTTACTGCAAGAAGTTATATGACACAGAATTCACAAAAATGCATTTGTCTTTTTGTGGATAGGTTGCATTCTAAGCTGTGAAATTCCTGCTTTCCAAAGATGAAATGTAGAATTTATTTTTCTTTCTTTCAATATTATGTTTATAATATTACACATAATATACAAAACAGCTGTAGCAAGAACCCAACCTTGGGTTCAAGGATTTTGAAATAGCAGCTGGTTCTTATACCAAACCTGAGAGGACTTAATCGCAGCATCAAATACTCATGCCTAGATTCCAGTATCTAGTGGGTTAACTATTTAATTAGGATGCTCACTTTAGTGAAATATAGTGAAGGAGAGTTCACGTGTTGTGTGCTAGAATCGTTTGTATTCTAGGTGAAAATAATATGAATTGTATGCATTTGGTATCAGTATTCATGCAGGCCTTATCAGGCTAAAAAGCTTTTTGTTTCCAGCTGCTTATATAATAAATTACAGTGGAATCAGAACTGTGAATAAATGATAATACCTATACTGCCAGTACTAGTCATGGTACCAATGCATGTATTATAAGTAAAATATATAGTGCCCTGCAGTATTTGTGTAACTACCATATTGTGACTAAAGATAAGAGGTATGAGAAGCTGTTGAGTTCATTCAGATGGGAGAATGGGTTGCAGCTGTGAATGTGCCAATTTGCTGCTAATTTCAGAAGTATTGCAATTCAGTCATGTGAACATGCCTGATAAGCTATCTGAGCTTCTTTGTTCAGAGTAATCGCTATAAACGTTATGAATACTTCATATTCTGACTTTGCCTAGATTTAGTATTATTTTAAAGCTCTATTTCCACTTAAACATTTAACTCTATTTTTCTGATCGAATATTTTTCCATAATTAGCCCCCAGAGATTGTATTTGATTCACTGAAAATAAGCATGAGCTTTATAAGCTATAAGTATAACCTTGATTTATAATGGAAAGAAGATATTTGCCACCCTTGTACGTGGTGTTTCAAAATGAAGCAAAACTGCACAGTCACATATGAACTCATGAACAGTGGCACTGAATGTATGTATTGTACCTCCAAACAAACATTGGTCTAATCCAAAGAATTTTGAGGAATTCATGTGTTTTCTGCTCACACTAGAAATTAATTTCTTGCCATCTAAATTATTTTGTAATTCTTTTCAGGCACTCCAGGGATCATCTCCTCACCATATGCAGGGGCTGCTGGCTTTGCCCCTGCCATTGGTTTTCCCCAGGCAGCAGGCAAGTTCTTTTTAATACGAGTAAAGCCTAACTTTGTAGTATTAGTGCTTTGTCTAGCTTTTTAAGAGAACAATTGTGCTTACTGGTTTTGGAACCAAATAGTGGATAAAAACCAGCACACTTCTAATGTTATGTCCATGTATGCTATGAACATAGTATATTCATAGTACGTTTTTCAGTCTTTCTTGTCTCTGGTGAAAGAACTGAAAATATTAGGTCATTCATCTTTTTTTTAAGGACAGGATGTTTTTGCTGTTTTTTAAATAAACTGTAAGTGAAGTTGTTTTGTACAAATGTTTACCTCACTCCAGAGTTTTGACTGCAGCCCTTATCACTACTCACCATTGGTTTTGTTGGCTAGGGCTGATGGGAGTTAATGCCAAACATCTAGAAACTCACACACTGCCTGTCCGTAGTCTAACAGCTGTGAGATCCAATATCTTGTGTAACTCAATATACTGAAGGGAGTAAAGGTGGCACATAAGATACATAGCAGTGTTTTCATTTTATGTACCATAGCTAACCAATTTAATATGTGTTGCTGAACTCATTGAGGAAGAATACATTGCAAGGCCTTTTCTTGGTTTCTAATGCCTTTGCTTTAAAATGCTTCATACTGAATTTGCGTTTCAGAATGATGGTTAAAAGTCGAAGAGCATTGCATTTTTAAAAAATTTTGTATCCAACTCTTGACTTTTTCAGGTTTGTCAGTCCAAGGTGTTCCCAGTGCACTTGGGCCTCTTGCAATCACCACCTCCGCCATGACTGGGCGCATGGCTATCCCAGGGGTTCATGGAATGCCAGGAAATTCTGTTCTGCTTGTCAGCAATCTCAATCCTGATGTAAGAGTAATGTATGAGTTGTAGCTCAAACATAGTTGTCGATTAAGTGCATGGTATTTAGCAACATCTAAATTAAAATTAAATCACAGCCACTATAATCAGTGAAAAAAAAACATATTGTGTTAGTACAGAGGAGATATGATGTCTGACACGTGCAACTTGTTTCAGTATACCTGCTAGGACAGTAGTTATTTTTTACATTTCCCTGTCTGCTTCAGGGTAATTCAGGTAGGGCTTGTTATTTCCTTTTAAATATATATATATATATATATTAAAAAACAACCTCTGTTGTGATTTTATGCAGGCAATTACACCAGATGGACTCTTTATCCTGTTTGGTAAGCTACTTTTTCTGCAAAATACAACCCACACCATAATTTATTTTTGAGGAATGGCTGCTTCAAACTTTAATAGAAAGTATAAGACCTCTTGACACCTCTTGTCAAAACACCTCTTCCAAAACATGTGATGTTTTTTGCACATGATTATTAATTGCGAGACTCTAGTATCGGAAACTATCAGCCTGTCTTCAAGTTAAACAGTTACTTACTTATTGAATATACCAGCATTTTCCTGGGATGGAATTCAAAGTGGATATGGGTGAAGCTGCAGATGTTAGTATTACATTTGGAAGATTCATTGATGCTTGCATCATTTCCATTTGCTTTTAATGCAATCATTAGACATCATATGCAAGATACATATGTCTCTAATAAGTGGAGTTGTATAAAAGCATATCTCTTAGTTGGTAAGGAGTGGAATATACATGAAAGGGGATACTTCATATAATTAGAAATTAGAGACATGTCTCGCAAATTGATCTTACATATTCAAGTGAATTGTTTATTTCAAGTCTTCAGTTGCTTCTGTTAGCTTTGTTACACAGTCTGGTAGAGGGATTATGGAGATGGAATAGCACATGTGTAGACCACCCTATTTCTTCCTCCAGTGTCCCCACAATATATAGGAGCTTGGTGTAATTCAGTGTTTAGCTTTCTGAAGTCATTCCCAGGTAGCAAGAGAGGTTAAGGCAGTCAGGAAAGTGGGAAGAAGCCCCCTTATCTTGGTTTTGGCATTCGGACAGGAAAGAGCTATATTTCAGTTATGATAAAGGGGGCTCTTGGTATCTATTGTGGTTTGGCTCTTGGATCCCCCCCCCCTTGCATATCACTTCATAGTAATTATAATATTTCAATCTCTGTCATAACACTTATAGAGGAAGGGCCAAAAGTCACTAAGTTGTCTGATGTTTTAATAACTTTTTGAAAATGTTTTTGAACTGATTTTACATGTAATGTAATACAATTTCCTATATCTACTGTATGTGATGCTATGGTATTGTACATTAAAAACAAGAAATAAGTTATTAAATATTGAAACCACTTTGTGACTTTTGGCTCATAATATATGGTTGTGTGTGTATGTATACACACACACACACACACACACACACACATTTATTTACTATATTTATATATTGTCTTTCTTACCCAGTGGGGATGCAAGGCATTTTACATGTTAATGGGAAAAATTCAATGCCATATAAATATAGAAAGAAAAAAACCCATAATAACTAACGCTAACATATAACTATAAATTAAATCATTAACACCATTGAACATAAGATATAAGCAACATTAAAACATTAAAACAAAGCATTAAACCATCCTAGTATAAATATTAAAATCACATGATGCAAAAATCGTACACCATAGCCATTCTGATTGTCATTGCACATATTTCCTAATTATTCTTCGCACTGGATTATTTTGCTATATCACCACCAAAAGCCAGTATGGTTTAGAGATTTTGAATGTTGGACTAGGACACTGGGAGACAAGGGTATGAATCATCTCTTGGCCATGAAAATTTGGAGTAACCTGGAGTACGTCACACTCCCTCTGTTTTAAAGGAAGGCTGGGGCAAACCCCTTCTGAACAAATGCTGAGATAAACCCTGAGATAAGATCATTTTGGGCCGCCATAAGACAGGGATTACTTGAAGGCATACAACAACATCAGCCTCCTAACCTTTTGATATTTGGAGATATCCTTAGTATAACACTGACATGATATTCCTCTCTTAAATAAGATAACTTGAATGACCTTGCTGCACAGTATGCATAAAACATTGCTTTATCTTTGCAGGTGTTTATGGAGATGTCCATCGAGTAAAAATCATGTTTAATAAGAAGGAAAATGCCTTAGTCCAAATGGCAGATGCAACCCAAGCCCAACTAGGTATTGAACAAATGAACTTTATTATGGTCTCAGACTAGGAGTTTGAAATGTTAAAGCATTAAAGTCAGAGGTTTTTAAAGCATTAAAACCAGAAGTTCAAAACACTACAAGCAGAAAGTCCAAGATATGCAACCATTGTAGTAAGCTTTATATTTGAAACATATCCACGACATGTGCAATCTGCAGCATGGTTTGCACATGACACTTGATTAAAATCTTTGAATACAGATATTAAAATATGTAAGTTAAAACATCTACTAAAATCTGCAATCTGACTCCTTAATTTTATCATTGCAGCACAAAATATAGCCACTATTGATGTGATTCATAATTCACTATCCTCTTGTTATGTATTTCAAATAGTATTCATCACTTCTGCCATGAATCTTCTGTACAGTAGAAGTAATTAAAGCAGATTGAGTGTCCCTGTAGAAATGAGAATGTGATCGGACACATCTGGCAGTTTCCAGTTCCTTCAGACCGCATGGGCATATTCGCTTATGGTAGTGGATGCCTGCAAACCTGCTCTGCAGTAGTGATTATGGCAGAATATTAAATCTGGCTGGGGTGAAGGATTTTCTGAATTTTGGAATATCAAGCTTGCAAAAGTAACTCACTGGAATAAACAACTTCTTGCTATATTTTTATTTACAATATTTTTATTGAATATTTCCAGATTTTTTCAAACAAGAGGGAAAAATGGAATAGTAAGTAAAAAGAGAAATAGGGAGGTTAGGGGTAATGGAGTTATTATTAGCAGGTTAACTCCTTACAAATATCTAGTTTGTCGCCAGGGAAGAGGGAAGAGGCTGAGTGGACGGAGGGAAAGACATTGTACAGAATTGTAGTTGTTACATCTAATTCTTCATCTCATGCTATTTTTAATTTCTGGATACCAGTTCATTTATACCACATGGCCTTGCTGCTTCATGTCCCAGATACGTTGCTATATGGCGGATTTGTCTTTGTCAAATCCAAGGGTTATTAAAGTCTGAGGTGAAAACCCCAAGCTTCTCAGCTTCTCCTGCAACATAGCTTTCCATTTTGTCTGAAACTTGTCTGTTAAAATGAGAGGGGCCAGGCTCACAGGACAAAGAACCAAATTTCACCAATAGTGGATCTTAAGGACCCATACCCGGGCCTCAATCAAAAGTTGCCCTAGCTAGGTATTAACTATGTCAATAAGACATAATGTAATTCATAGTATGTACTGAATCTGTTTTCAAATATATTATTTATTATTTATTTGCAGTATTTATATTCTAGCTTTCTCACTCAGCAGGGGACTCCGGGCGGATTACAGTGCACATATACATGGCGAACATTCAAGCCATTAGACATACAACATATATAGACAGATGCAGAGGCAATATTACATTCCAGCTTCATGACAGTATGCTCGATTCCGGCCACAGGGGGAGCTGCTGTTTCACCATCCACTTGTGACACCGAGTCCTTGATGGAGTACTTCCTCATTCTTACGCATGCTGCTGGAAGGTTTTATGGTGCCATAAATTTGTTAAATTAGCCTCCCCATCCAAAGCGGTACCTATATTTCCTACTTGACAGATTCAACTGTTTTTCGGACTGCATAGGTCGATAGCAAGCTAGACTATTAAGAGTCGGGAGCTCACTCCAACCCATGCTGGCTTTGGACCCATGACCTCTCGGTCAGTGATTTAATGCAGCTGGCTACTAACTAGCTGTGCCACAGCCCGGTCTTCCATGCTAACATATTAGCCATGTTAGTCTCTTGCAGCAGAAAATGGAGGAAGAAAGGAATATGGCAACACCTTTAAGATTAACTTGTCTTTGTTTTAGCATGGGTTTTTTTTAGATATAAACCCACTTCCTCAGATGCAGTCCAGGGTGATATTGAGTTCTCAAGTATAAAGCTTATTTATACAGTTATGACAAAGGGTTAGAATCCAAAAAAATTCAAATTGTGTCGCTTACCCTACATTTTCCAAGGGCTGGGCCTCACCTATTATATTCACTCCCACAGCTATATAAATATGTTTCATACTTGAGTCATTAATACCACTTGCTACTGCATCCAAAGAAGATTTATAGCCACAAAAGCTCATGCTAAAATCAAAACCAGTTTGTCATAAAGGTGCTGCCACATTTTTTTTCTTTACCTTTCTCCCTCACTTCTGTCATTGTTGATCTATGGAAACAATAAATCTGTTTACCAAAAGACAGTTTCTGTGGGAACCTGAGAGTTATGAACCCAGGGATCATATTGCAGTCTTTTCTGGATCCTGTTAAATTCCTTTTTTTCTTACCCTCCCTTATTCCTTTTATGTTGTAAAGTTACTGTGTTTATATTATGATTTCCTGTGATAGTTTTTTGCATACGATTAAAATTTGTATGACAACAGCTTATTTAAATGTTTCAGATTCACTGCTGTTTCCACTACATCGGAATATGGATTTTAATCCAAAGGAGGGCTAGTTTCATAAATGGTGCTTCATGTAGTTTACAGACATTAGCTGTTTGATTCTCCACATTGAATTTAAAATGTCTTCAGTGAAGATTACATGAGGAATTCATTGAAAATATAGTGAAAATCTGTAATTTTAGAGGACATGCATAGTGCAGTTGAGGGTGAAAGTAAACTGAAATTGGTGTATAATTCATTAGGTCATGACTTAGCATGGGTATTTTAGAAGTATAGATTCAGTAGAGGAGCTGTTGTGTCTTCTCTCTCCAGGTCTTAATCTCTTGACTTAATTATTTTAGCCATGAATCACCTAAATGGACAAAAACTTTATGGAAAGATGCTGCGTGTTACACTTTCTAAGCATCAGACAGTACAACTTCCTCGTGAAGGACAGGAGGACCAAGGTCTGACAAAGGACTATAGTAATAGCCCTTTGCATCGCTTCAAGAAGCCTGGGTCAAAGAACTTCCAAAATATCTTCCCACCATCAGCCACCTTGCACCTCTCCAACATTCCGTAAGTATATTGATGTTCTGTAAGTAGCATATGATACTTCGCTCCCTAATCCAAAATAGAAATTAATCCCTCACCAGAATTAAAAATGCCATTTTACAACAGTTAACTGTTTGCCTCCCTTTATATGAAACTCAGTCGCTTGATGTAATGTCAGCCCTGCACATTGGCAACTGGACTAGAGATGCTTGAAATTATTATGATACTGATTAAGTCTGAATTGATGTTTTTTATATGTTCATGTGTTTTATTTTATTGTATTTTATATTGTGTTCACTTTTTATGTTTGTTTTAGGCACTTTGTGCCATCTGTAAGCCTCCCCGAGTCTCTTCAGGGAGATGGTGGCAGAATATAAGAATAAAATTATTATTTGAAACACAACAAGATGAGTCACAGCAAACAAGATCACTCTGCTGGCTGTTGTATTGGATCACACGTTGAACATTATTATTATTGTTATATTTGTGTTTTTAGTCTAATGTAAAGAGCCAACTTTTCCCACATCTAAAGCAAATTGTTTTTAGATATATTTTTTTGGATATTTTAAATTTAAATGTTTTTGTATCCTATATTCCTTAAATAAATCTAGAAATTTTAGTCAAAAAATCAACTTAAAAACCTGTTTCGACATTCATGGGTACTGAACCTCAATGTTTATCAAGAAAAAGAATCCTCCCCTTTTCAGAGTGGAGTATCAGAAGGCAAGAGCATAGTCTGAGTGGATCTAAAAGAATTTACTGTATATATTCAAGTATAATCCAACCCAAATGTAAGCTGAGGCATCTAATTTTTCCACAGAAAACTGGAAAAACATATTGTCCCGAGTATAAGCCTAGGGTGAGAAATGCAGCCGCTACTGGTAAATTTCAAAATAATAAATGTAATCAAAATAATAATAGAGTATAATAATAAATGTAATACTAATAATAATAATAATAATAATAATAATAATAATAATAATAATGACAAAAACAACAACAGAGTACAATTATAAACAACCATGACTTGAGCATAAGTTGAGGAGGCCTTTTTCAGCTTGAAAAAAGGGCTGAAAAACTTGGCTTATACTCAAGTATATATGGTAACCCTCTCTATTCTCTGTACTACATGGTTCCTCGTGGCCTTTTGAATGGCTGGGCAGAGAAATGTGAGCCAGGACCAACTGCCCCTCAAAACACAATTTCAGCTCTTGACTTATCGAGGGGTCATATCATTTTGGCTCCAAAACCTGCCCTGGATTTATAAATGAGGTTGACTTTACATCAGTAGTTCTCAACCTGTGGGTCCCCAGATGTTTTGGCGTACAACTCCCAGAAATCCCAGTCAGTTTACCAGCTGTTAGGATTTCTGAGAGTTGAAGGCCAAAACATCTGGGGTCCTACAGGTTGAGAACCACTGCTTTACATGAATATATACATTTTTTATATTAAGAGTGGAGTGGATGGTAGTAAGTGCAGTCTTCCAAGGTTTTTTGAAGGCACAGTGGAGACCCTAGTTCCTGGCATTTGCTTGCCTCTGCTCTAGAATATAATAAGCCTTATCCATAAAACTGCAGGAAAAAAAAAGATATCCACAAAACTATTAAAGATTTGTTTCCAAAAACAAGGATGTTTTGCTTTACTACAGAAACAACATCAAGTCTTATCATACCTTAAATAATTGTTGAATAAACTTTCATGATCTAGCATCCACATAATACATTTGATGGAGTGGATTTGGGTGTCTGAAAGCTGATGCAATAATACATTGATTAGTCTTGAACGGCTAAAGTACAATTCATTTTGTGTGTGTGTGTGTTTAATCTGTCTATTTAACTGACCACAGGGAATTAATTATCTTTTACAGGCCTTCTGTCACAGTTGATGACCTAAAGAATCTTTTTGCTGAAACTGGGTGTATTGTGAAAGCCTTCAAATTCTTTCCGTGAGTTTCCACAGTAACTTATGAAAATTCAAATTATGCAGAGAAGTGATCAGTTTCATACTTGTAGGCAGGAAATGAGGAATAACAAGAAGTCAAAACAATTAGTCATGTAACAGCAAAATGTAATTATATGAATTCGCTCTTGTTTTTTTCATCTTTTCACTGCAAAAAAAAAAGGCAGAAGATGTACAATATAGCAGGATGCATCTCTCAGGCTCTAGCAGACTCAAATCGAAGGAAGATCTGTTTCGTTTGGAGGCCATCCAACTAGTAATTGAGTTTCCCATCAATTTGTGTTTTCTGAGGTGTTACCAGGACAAGGGGTCAACATGACATGTGTACAAATAATAGGACTATATCATGCCAAATTTCTTGTTCTCCAAGTAGCCTTGTATTTCAGATAGTGTTTTAAATGTAATTTCATTAGGATTTGGAGAAGTAATGTGAATTAGATTGAACTATTTCCCTTTCACTTTTAGGAAAGATCGCAAAATGGCGCTCATCCAGTTGGGTTCTGTGGAAGAAGCAATCCAGGCTCTTATTGAGCTTCATAATCATGACCTTGGAGAAAACCATCACCTCAGAGTTTCCTTCTCCAAATCTACAATCTGACAGTTCTGTGACCTTTTCCATTTTAAGACTCTTCTCACAATTCCCAGTGAAAATCATCTTCAGACAGAGACTGGAGTAGCCAAAACCAACGCTGCATCCTTCAAACAATGAAACTTGAGTGGTTCAAGTGTAATTCTATACACAGTAACAAATCAAGGGATGGTCTTTCCATATATTTTCCTGTTTGAGGGGCCAATAGCCCTCCACATTTTTTTTCTTCTATAGTATTTAATAAAAATTTCAGTAGAAGCCCCTCCTTTTCAAATGATTTCAGGAACATAATTTTATTGTTTATTCCAAAATAATGTTACACAACATTTCTGTGTCCCTTTAAATATCCGAAAAATGTTTTCAAAATCGACTTAGTAGATGGCCTTTCACACTACTTATATAGAATATTGTTTTTTGTGGTGAGGGGAGATTTCTTTGACCAATTAACTAACATGTTAATCAGCGCCTGTTTTGAAAAAATTGGAAGAAAGGCAGTGCCTTCTTTCTCCATGACGTGAAATAATGAAGTCCAAATATAAGATGTAATTGATATAGATGAATTGTCTTAATGTGATCCAAAGTGGTCACACTTTTAACTAGATATGAAATCATGGTGGGAGAGGTTACTAGCTTTTAGTACTATGAAATGATGTGTAATAAAATTTTGGAGAAAATGAAAAGAAAAGATATGTCCTGATTTCAAGTTTTGTACATTTATTTCAGAAAAAAATGTTTACACTCTTAAAGGAAAAAAAAATCAGGTCTGTCATATGGTTTGACAAATTTTTAAAAAGGTTATTTTTGGTAAAGTCTTGTTTAAAAATATATAAAATTAAACCTCAAGGGTTTTTTGTACCACTATAATCTCTAATACTTAAAATCAGAATTACTGTGTATTTACTTAATTTCTTATGTGCCTTATTATGTGCTTATAATGATACAATAGTTTAGAGTTTTATCTGAAGTATCTTCGAACTGTATTGTGGCTTGGTGAGGTTTTCCCCCCCTTTGTCTTAGTTTTTAAACTGGTGATTTCAAAAAATGTTTTTAATAAGTAATCAAAACAGATTTTTGGTGCTTTGGTACAGGGATGGGGAGGTGGGGATTAAAGATAACTCGATGCACATCCTTATAGAGCTTTTCACAATATTTTGGAAGTTGCAGTTGAGTGATACCACTGTTGGGATCATAAGAATGTTCTTCAGTTTTTGGATAGTATCTGACCTGTTGAGCTATTGGCTCTCTGAGAATATTTTGCCTCAGGATTCCTTTTCACCCAGCAGTACTGGGCTATACTAATTATAGACTGGCTTTCCTTAATAAATATCGTAACTTCAGTACCGAATGTTCACTCCTTTTTGGAGAGGAAGATGAGATGCAATCTTACTATTTTTGGTGAAATATAGTTACACACAGGTTATTTCTATGATTGTAATACAATGTTTTTAGAGATGTCTCAAAATGTTATGTCTACTGAAATTTTCCATTGTTTATAAGGGTGGTTATTCCTTTAAATTGTTTTGGAAATGGATGCAAAGACTTAAGAAATGAAATGGAGTGTAGTGTGCTTGTTGTTTTTGGGATTTTTAGCAAGTTGATTTGTTCTGTGAATACCATCAGCTGCTTGGCAAAAAGAAAAAAAACATTCCATAGCTTTAGATCTAGCTGGAAGTTCCTTTTACAAAGGTAACTTGTCATTTATTATTGCAACACAAGCTTTCTGGTAACATCATTGTAGCATGATAGCATAGGCACTGAGACACTTGCTTCCTTCCATTTATATAGCTATATCTGGAAATTAGTCAGCTAAAAATCACCCTTGGGTACTTCATTAGCACGTGCATTTTGTTATATCACCAGATCAGTTTCTCTGTGTGGCATTGTGCTAGCGACCAGTAATAATTGACCCCCATTTCGCAGTTCAGCATGCCTTCACAGCTGTTTCAAAATAACAATATAAACAAAAGCCTGGTGGTCCAAGATCTTTTCGCAGTTAAGCAAATGATCCAGCTGGTGCCCTACTGCTGGCATGGCACTTGATCTGAAATATATCTCTTTCGTTTCATTGATTTCAGTGGACCCTGGCTCCAATTAAGCATGTTCAGGATGGCAGCCTACTTAAGCATTAGCGAAATAGCTTTTTGAATTGGAATCCCAATTAATATGCCTCCTCATTGCAACTTGCTAAGTTATCTGCTCACCATGCGTTTAATGCTGCTACAAAGGGGGATGTTATTGGAGTTGATGAATGTAACTGAAGCAGGAAAAAACCAAGTTCTGAGACTGAGCATTAGCATGTATAATATCAAGAAAAGAATGTGTGTGCATGTGTGTGTGCGTGTGCTGTGTGAAATACCGGATGTGTATATTGATACTCATTGCAGGCATTTAATTTATTGATTTAACTAATCTGAAATGCAACTTTGTAGTGTTAACAGAGAAATAAATGGTCAGCTGAACATGAAAAATAGCTTCACTTAATCCCTGAGAGATATTTCTGTACTGCCTGCAGTCTGAGTTGTAGGGCATACAAATACAAATATGCTGGGAAACCTTGTTTGAAATTTTGTTTTGAATATAGTTGTGTGGTCTTGTCATAATCATATTCTATTCTGTATAAATCATCTTGGTTGTAGTGCATGTGTGTTCAGCATTTAGGGGTTGATCTTATTTTGCAAGTTTATATTTTTGTGAGGCACAAATGTGAGAAATGGCAGTACTCACTTTGTTTGCATTTAAAATAGTGATTCAGTTTGCAGCAATAGTTAGCTTGACTTTGTCATCAAATACTATAGAAGGCAAGTCTTTGAACTGGTATGAAGACAATAGCTAACTTGACCATTTGCTTGTCCTTTCATTCCTTTATTGCTGGACACACGGCTGTAGCAAGTGTCCTGCAAAAGCAAGGTGCTCTAAAAAGGTGTGGTTATTGAGTAACATCCATCAACCAATCTCCTTGTGAAGCGCCTTGGATTATAATAGCCAGTTTTCTAGTCTACTTGATCGTTCTAGCATGCAGTTTGTCAAATTAGTCCTTTCTGTTCTCTCACCCATTGAGGATAAAATGGCTGAGATTTAGCACCGTGTGGCCCTTGTCATTACTTTGTGATACTGTTCAAGTTACAATCTCCTGTGTGTTAGGCATTTCTGTCTGTTGAATTTGTGGTGTGTGTTAGGGCTTGATAATATTTTGGCTTCTAATCAAACTACAATATATTTGCATATCATGCAGCTTTAGTGAAGGTGCCTTTTTAGCATACTGGGTGAACGTTTTCTTGAGTGAAGTTAAATAAAATGAAAGCTTCTACTCATCACAAGAGGGGATCTTTTTAAAGGAAATCAAGGAAACAATTTACAGCACCACAGAATAAAAATGGCTTTGAAAATAACCAAGTCCCAAGCACCTCAGTGTTATGGAAGACCTAGTTTTAAGAATTATATTGACATGAATTTTGATCAAATGGACACCTGCAGTTGCCTATCATTACTTACTTCTTGTGGCTAAGCCATAATAGCAGTCACTCTGAAAGACTCGCTGCTGCTAGTTTTGAATACAAACTGGAATGAAAATCCAATTCGGGAACTGCTGAGTGTGTTTTCATGCAGGCATTGCTCAAACGTGCGAAAAGTGCAGCCCTGGAGCTGCCTGTGAGCCCAGGGCTTTCTTCCTTCACACACAACGGTTTCCCCAACCTGGCCAGGCTCTCCTCCTGTTTCTGGCCAAAGAAAAGATGAGTTTCTTATTCTGATAGCCTCCAGCAATAACATGTCAAATTTTAAATATACCAGACCCATCCCTCCTTCATATTTAAAATTTTAAAATGTTTTCTAAAAAGAGGTAGGTTTCTAGATAATTCAAATTTTATTTCATTTTTGCTGTGGTGGTGGTGGTCTACACTGTCTCTGGAGAATCCCACAAGTAGAAAACTTGCCCCCTGGCATACCATGGCTGTGTAGATCCTTCACAAATCATCATGTGTTGGGCTCCTTGCTGTGAGGCCATGTTGCTAAATTTGATGAAATGTGGAAATTGTAATCGGTAATGACAAAATTTCCGTGCACCGCTGATCAACAAAAGATCTTCTCCATAAGTTGATAAACATTCATTGTATGCCTTGACCAAACTTGGTTGCCTTTCGTGTCTCCCATCACATGTTGTTATTGTGCTTGGAGAATATCTTGAGGGCTCTTTGTGCCTATATAATCCAGATGTAGCCTTGAGACTGTACCATGGAGTTGTTGTTATGAAATGCAGAAGTAGCATGAATTTGACAAAGGACAAGCCCATCTTGCCACCACGGAGTTCAGTAAGACCTCTTCTGGGAATAATGAACCCGAGGCATGCCGTTTCAGTCTTCATCCTGTTAAGTGTTGTGTGTACTGCTATTTTCAAAGGAGGGGCTGAGAAGTTTAAACTGTTCTAAAGCCATTTTTTTGCCTTGACTTTTTTTGTGGGCTGGTAATGTTGACAAAAATTGCCAGTTTATCAAACATTTGTGCTGAAAACTATTCAGGTTGCACAGAGATTTTCTTGAAAAAAATCAACATCCTAATTGTCTTTGCAAAGATATCTGTATGTTGTATTTGAAACTGTTGTTTTTTTGTTTTTTTTGTTTTTTATTTTCAAACAAATCTTCACAATTAGAAATTATTTGAAAAAATTGAAAATGTCTAAAATTTTAATTTCAGGGTTTATACAAAAGATAAAAATGGGACCAAAGTTTATGTGCCTTCAGTAGACGTGTAATTTTTTTGCTATCTCTTTCAGTCTTTAGACTCAATACTCTTGTTTGCAAGAAAATGTATTTATATAGTAAAATACCAAATGACCCATGAACTCTCCATATGTGCAGTCAGTCAGTTGCTGTTTCATTGGATTTATTAACTTTTTTCTTCCTACCATTGTAACATGAATCATGCTGCACCATGCAAGAATTCAATATCTGGGGTGTGGTTACCACTTTAACCCTTAACTATAATAAAATACTGAGGGTCCTCATACACAGATATCTTCCTTTATAAATGAAGGGCAAATGCTTTGACAGAACTTTGAATTCTTGGATCTATGTGCGGTATTTGGGGTTATAATGAAAAACAGCCAATTTACGTACGTAGATTCATCTCTCAACCATGCTCTTTTCCCAATTCATTCTCCAGTTCCAGGAAACAATTCATCTTCACAAAATACAAAGCAAATTGTTGCATCAGATTGTCACCTCATTGCAATGACCAAAGATTGTCTGCTCTGGTTTTACTGAGACATCTTGACAGTTTGCTTTTTCTTTCTCTCCCGCTTTCTCACTATTTTCCCACAAGACTCAATGTGAAGTGACCTTTTATATGAATGCTGGTGGTAAAAGGACTACTTTATGAAAAAATTAGATTTTAAAAAAAATGTGAACCAAATGTAATGGCGTAAAGCAGGAGGATAGTGGATACTTAGTACTGTATTCAGAGTTTAAAAAAAGGTGCACGCTTACAGGAGTCAGACATTCCCTAACTTTTCATGTGTTCATGAATCCCTTTTTAAGTTTGTAAAAATATTCATATAACACAAGAAAATGCTGTAAATATTTGTAACAACATTTTTTTACCTGGCAAAAAAAGGTTTTTGGGAACAAGTATAAAAATGGTTTTATATTTAAAGAAAACATCAATTGTCTTGTATATTTTGATAAGCAACAGTACCAGCTTTCATTTGTTAAACAGCTTGTGGCATTGGAGGGGGGAAAGGATTCCATGTTGTTGAGATGATGTTATAAATGCAAAGAAGTTGAAATATTAAAGAAACCTATTTTCTAACTGAGTAGTGCATGGTTAATTTGAACTTCTGTACACTGCCGTATACTCCATTTCTTTTGAGTTTTGTGTATTTGCTGATTATTACTTGAGTACCTATACTTAACTCTTTTTCTAACAACTCTAGTTGTAGCATGCCTCTTAATAAATGTTATGACATCTGTACTCTCAAATTTTTCTGCGTTCTTGTCTATTACTTTGGATTTTCCCTCTAATTGTACAGCTAATGTCTGTCTTTTTATTTGTGTTTCTTTCTTCTATGAGCTCATCTACACTTGTTCTCTTTGGATTCAGTTTGGAGTCCTTGACAATCATTTTCATGGAACGTCCCTGTGATAAAAGTAACCTTCCTTATTTTTGAAAAGCTGGGAGAGTGACTTTGAGGTGGTTCAAATTTGTACACAAATCCTCTTGAACACACAAATCATTACAATCCATATTGCACCCAAGTCTTCTTAATATGCAACAGAGTAGATGTTTACACCATGTAATTAGAGTAAGAGTAGAAATAGTGTCGCTCCCTGATGTTGAACTACAGCTCCTCACACGCTGGCAAGAGCTGCTGGATGTAGAAGGCCAGCAGCATGAAGGACCACACAATTGTGACTCCTCAAACTACTG